CACCTCCTAAACCTCCCCAAACAGTGCCACTAACTGGAGATAAAGTATTCAAAGATCTGAACCCATGGTGGACATTCTCATGCAAACCACCACAGAGGGATAGACTTCATTCACAGCCACAGATGTAATTCTGTTCTCAGTCAGTCCTTCCTGAATCAATATATAGCCTCAACTCACCCAAACACCAAATCCCAATAGGCTGTTGATTTCCCCACTGAAAAGTACAGATTCATTTAAAACTAGATATCTCTAGTATGTCCCATGGAAGGAGGGGCTTTCCAATGGTCAAAGCTGCTTGAGATGGGTAGTGGGCCTTGGCTACCCTGAAAGGTGTGAGTTCTCCATCCTGGGGGGTGTTCAAGACCAGTCAGAGGGAGTCACAGTTGTGCTCATCTTGGACTCTGTCATCAAAGCGACTTGGATTTGCATTGTAACTTGGGTATTGCTGGGCAAAGGATGTCCCCTTTCAGAGTCTCAGTTTGCACATCTGTGAAATGGTTATAGTCCCACTGTTTTAGTTTGCTTTCAGTTGCTGTGATAAACACCATGCCCAAGAGCAACTTGGGGAAGGAAGGGTTTGTTTATGCTTACACTTGCAGGTAACTGTCTGTCATTGAGGAAGGACAGAGCGGAAACAGAGGCAGGAACTATGAAGAGAAGCTGCTGACTGACTTGCTTCCCCTAGCTTGCTCAGCGACTTATATAGCCCAAGCCCACCTGCCTAGGCATGGTACCGCCCACAGTGGGCTGGGCCCTTCTACACCAATCAACAATCAATACATTTCCCCACATATATGGCCACAGGGCAATCAGACCTGGGCAATTCCTTAGTTGAGGTTCCCTCTTCACAGATAACTCTAGGTGTGTGTCAAGTTGACCGCTGAAGCTGACTGTGGCACCCACTAACTGAGTTTATGGAACACCAGTGTAGGGCTGGGCACAGATGACACCTCATGGGAAGGGGCTGATGTCATTACACTAATTGAGGGTGTTGTTCCAAGATGGGCCCTCGGCAGCGCTCTCTGTCAGCACTTCTGAGTCTTGGGAGCCTCTCCCCACTATTCATCTCAGAGGGAGAGACTCTGCCTTTTCCCTCTTGCTGTCCCCTGGGGCTCTTCCTCCAGAAAGGGTCTCTGCCACATCACAGTCCCCTCCTGGCTTGTCTTTACCAGAGACCCGTGGCATATGGGGACAACCCCGGCTTCCCTACTCATGCTGTTCACACGCTTATGAGGACAACTGAGTCACATCACAAGAGGCTCTGGGGTGCTCAGTGTCCCAGCATAGTCACACTTTAAGGAGAGGGAACTCTTTTTCAGGGGGGCGATCTGGGGGGCAATGTCTCTTCTGTTGAGCACATCTGGGCTGACCTTCCATTCCTTGACCTTTAGTCTCCAAAATGAATTTGAATTTCAAACAGAGAAACACCTTGCAGCAAGTGTGGCTCCAGGGCTCCCCACGGGGTGGCTGGGCAGAGTTTTGTCATCACTGGATCTCAGGCAAAGGCCCCTCTGGGAATGATGGGCCACTTAGCACTGGTTAATGACGCTGTGTTGCACAGACTTAAGGACCTTCTTGGAATCGATCTTCCTGTGAAAATCACACTTTGGAGACACGAAGCGACCACCAGAGAGCCTTAAATGAACTGACTGTTGTCAAGTGGAGAAACAGCACGGGCCATGAAGCAAACAAGAGTCTCTACCAAGACTGAGCAAGAGGCATGTGCCCTGTGCCTCTGACTGTCATCTTGCTGGTTTCTGCATCTCCATTCTCCAGAGGACTGTGATGTCCTGGACCTTTGTGCTCACTGTGTGATGGTCATGTGACATTTCTTGCTCCTGTCCTCACCCCTGCTCAGTTCTCTTCTTGGAGAAAGGGATAAGTTCCCACTCTCTCTTCACCCCTCCCTTCATTCATCTGCTGGGAATTGGCTGAGAGAGGCGACATTTGAGTTCAAGAGGGTGCAGGGACCTCTATCCACGGGGACCGTGGCTATTTCAGATGTCTCACCAGATACAGATATGGGACCGAGGTGAGTCCTCCCAAGCCCCCATCCAGTTACCCACAAACCCAAGGTGGCTCCATTTGCCCAAAGTCCTGCCCACCTATGTATGCCAGGGCCGGCTGTGCCCACTCTGAAGGGCTGAATATCTGAAAAGGATGATCTCTGGACCCCACCTTCACCCCACGAATGGTGAATCCATGCGGGCCTCTAACATCACACGTGTCACTTCTGTGGCCTCTCGGTGTAATCCTGCATATCAGTGTCTGCTTCCCCAGAGAGTCAGCTCCAGAGGAAGAGGCTCATCCTGCCCTCCCCAGAGCTGTCCTGAGCCTTGCTAGGGTCTGGGTGGGAGAGTGTTTTGACACCAATATAGCCCTGATAGAGGCAGACATGTTTTCACACCACACCACTGTTGAGCCACACATGGCCACATCCGCCAAAGCCTCCACCTGTGGGTGGAGAGTGAGCTGGGCTTCCTTCTGTGCTCCCTGTCACCATCGTGACCCTCGGCTCTCTCAGGCATTGTCCTGGTAGAGTAGCAGATGGGCAGGTGAGCCCTGGGCCAGTGGAAGACAGATGAGGATGGAGGACAGCTGCAGAGGACCAGCTTCACAGATCCCACAGCATCAGAGCTGCCTGCCACACAGTTTGGTAGGCAGTGTGACAGGACTGACCCACAGAGAAGCCCCTGGCTGAGGAGGGTTCTCGGGAGGCAGTGTGAGCTCAGGATCAAGAGTTGGTGGCATGAGTCAGGGACAGAGTCAGGCATGTCAGCTTGGCAGCAAGCAGTAGACCTTTCTCATGGGGAATGGTCAAAAGGATGTAGGCAGTGGGTTCCTAAGGAGCCCTCTGGAGAGGGCCACAGTGGGGCTTCCTTTAGTGGCTGGGGTCTGGAGATCGAGGGGGTAGAGGCCTGTCTATAGAGCATCTCCAGAGAGTCTGTGCACCAAGCCATAGAGTCACTTGGGTGCTGGTGCATCTGGGAAGGTGGAGGCCTAGGGAGGTCCATCAACAGACATGTGTGGGGAGTGGAGTTAGGAGGGAGGTCCAGACTCCAGAGTGTGTGGGACCTGGCTGTGTGGCCTGAGGATCATCTGAGAGATCTCGAGGCAGTGTACTCCTCAGGTCCAGGCCTCTAACGAATCCTTGGTCCTGCTGTTGCTGCCTGTCCATTGTCCACATGAGCCTTTTGCAGGACAAATTTCATATCCCAAATGTCACAGGCTCTCAGAAGTCATGCTGGTGTGCAGAGGTGAGCCATCTCCATCTTTTGGGTACCTGGGGCATGTCCATATTCCATCCACACTCTGCACCTGGAGCAGGGCCCTCCAACTTCCCTTCTTAGGAAGTCCAGGAAGCCTGCCCACTTGAATTCCACGCACAGTTACTCACCCAAGTAAGTGTTTAATTAAATTCTCATGACAGTCACGGTGTTTTACCCAAATGGTTAACTGATGGCCTTGTGTTTTTGCCTGTACCCAGCAACCCCACTGTGGAGATTTTCATCCAAGGCTCTCCAGCCTCTGTGAATGATTCTTTATAACCAGCATATAGCGATGGCTGTAATGCTTGAAGTAGAGAGACCTTTCTGTAGACTGTGCCCCATGGCTGGTGTCCAGACAAGCCCCTTGAAGAACAGAACTTGGGTCACCACAGGATGTCTACATGTGGCCACCATGGTGTCTGGTTCCAGGAGACAGTCTCTGACATTTACATGGTGGGACCCATGGGATGAGGCAGGTAGATATGAACCAGGATGGGTGGATGAAGATTTTAGTGGATGTGATTGGAAGCCATTGGAAATGCACATCTCTGCAGATACCTTGGGCCCATGGGGCAGCAGCGGGGGATATAAACCACAGGTGAGATTCCTGGCTATGACCAGATGACTGTGGCACTACCCCAGCTGGAGATGAGAAGAGACTGGACTCTATATTACAGACTCTGGGAAGAGGTGGGTGACAGACAGGTCAGTCCATGGTTCCATCCACCAAAAAGAGGGAACAAGGTGTGCCTTGCAGGCAAATAGGGAGGGACACGTCTTGAGTGGGGTAAAGATGAGTCTCTAAGGCCTGAGTAGATAGGATCAACTGTAGGGCTCAGAGGGGACTCTGGGCAGTAGAGTGCAGTGGTTGCCCCAAAGTTCATCCATGTATGCCCTGTGCCTGCAGCAGAGGGACAGGCTGACGGAAGGAGAGTGACCGGAGCCACTGACTAGTAACTGGGACATCAGCACAGTCAGATTGGAGACAACAAAGACTGTGTGGGAGGGGCTTCCCAGGACTGACTCGGAACCACTGGTAAGGCACAGAGAAAGTCAAGGCCCCTCTGAGGAAAGACCTGGAGGCCAGGCTGGCAAGGGGAAGGGAGCAATGAACTCAGCCTTGGGAGATCCAGCACTCTGTCTACACTACTGTGCAATCTGCGCTGAGTTGCTTGCCCTCTCTGAGCTTAATCTGCACATCCGCAGAACAAAGTCACTTTGAAAACCCCTCTGTGCTGGGTTTTGATTCTAAAGGGTTCTGTGTGAGTCCTGCCACTTCTTCGCCTGGTCCCTTTTAAAGAGACCCAGTGGTCCTCCAGCTCCAGCTGCCTTCTGCCTGGGAAAGGCAAGCCAGCAGCAGGAGCCGTGGCGCTGACTCAGCAGCTTCCCAGAGCCCTTGTTACTCTGGGTCTGCCAGTGACAGGGCTGCTCGGTCCATTAGAGTCTGACACTCATGTGCCCTTGCCCTTGGAGGTGTCATTACCGGGTGGTTCCAGCAGCTTCTTCTATGGGAAGAAAAGGGGCAACAGGGTGTGAACCTGACCCACGGACGGGAGCAGAGGCTGAGACAGCAAAGTTTTGTGCTGGGCTCAGCTCAGGACCAAGGACCAGAGCTGTCAGCATAGATTTTAAGGCTCTGGATGCCCTCAACAGGCCAGACTCCCCTACCCACCCCTGGGCGCCCATTAAAGAGACAGGCAACTGTGAGAAGCAGAGAGAGTTTTACTCAGGGTGGCCTCAGTGGGAAGAGGAACAGGTGAAGGGATCCAGTGACCCCCGAGTCCGTCTTCAGGGTCCGGGTTTAAGTAGAGGGAAAGCAGTGCGCACACCTGGCTGAGGTGTGGTCCTACCCATCGTGGCCTATTATGGTCTCAGCTCAGATCTGTCCGACAAGGTGGCCTGATACATTGTTAAGTTAATCAACGAACAGAATTACCTTGGAGGGTGATTGTCTTCATCTTGGGGGGTAGATGGGATGGTTCTGGGTGGGATTTGCTCTTCCTAGAATTAAAGGCTCAGGGACTGTCCTACACTGACTCCCACTGACCATATCCTATCCCGGAGCCAATCCCTTAGAGCGAGTCTGCTAAATGTAATGAGGCAATCCTAGGCCATCCTGGGGACCCAGGGGTTAACCATTGCCTGAGCAGAGCAGGCTGAGAGTAGGAGAGAGAAGGTTCTAGGTGAAGGTTCTGAGCGACAAAAGTCACAGACAGCCTCTTCGGGGCTGAAGGTAGAGGACAAAATTGTCAGGCACAGAAATAAAGGGTAAGGGGAGAGAAGGCGTGGGAACGGGTCACCAAATATACGTTTTTAAAAAGGAGTTTTAACACAGGTGTTCTGCATGAGTGAACAATACTTCTCTCAGAAGACATGGGCTATTAAATGAAAATCTCAGTGTCAGATGTGAATACCTCCATACCAGTTATTGGCCGGGCAAGCCCCAGAAGCCCCCAACAACAACACAGGCTACTGCTGATGCTCTTGTCTGACCATTGTACTAGATGGTAAGACTTTGTTGTGAAGATACAGTATACTTTGGCTCTAGGACATAGAGAAATAAAGTTGGAACTGACCTGAAAACCTCAGTTTTACTGGCCAGCTAGCATAGACTTGGAAGACTCTATACAGGCCACTGGAGCAGAAAAGTCATCAACCGTCTTACTCAGCGGGCGGCCCGCTACAGTACTGACCCGCCCACTCCTGCAATAGTGGCATGAAGATTATGCAAACAACCAACTGCTTTTGAGACTAGATTTGAGACCTGCTTGGCAGGAAGTGATTCATGCCTGATACTGTAAACCTGGTCAAAAGCCCGAGGCTCAGGAGGTCGTAAGTTCTAGAGGGGAACCTAGTACTGTTTGTTGTTTTTGTTAAATGACATGTTGCCAAAGTGCCTTATAAATATTCATGCTTATACTTACAGATAGAGGTGCCCTCAACTGTGGCCAGAGGAGCTTCTTTTTGCAGTGGGCAGGAGTTAATGCAGACACTCATAACTGGTCCAAGGGCTAAGAATAAGTGACAGCCCGGTATCAAATCCTTAGGCCCCAAGGTTCAGCAGAAGAGGTGTTGGAAAGATGTAAGAGATGGTGTATGGGTGTGTGTGTGTGTGTGCGCGCGCGCGCACGCGCGCGCGCGCGCGCGCGCATGCGCGCCGCCATGCACAGACTTCTGGATTTGACACGGCTGTTGCATCATGTACTCATGCAGCTGCAGTAACTTGCACAACATCAATCAAACAAGACCAGCCCACATTCCAGCAGGCAGCACTAATGGGACTCAGTGGGGAAATAAATAAATGAATACATAGAGGGAGAGATGAGAAGATGGAGGATGTGTGTTGAGGTACCTGAGGGGAGTGGGAGGGAGAAGTTGGAGGAAGCTATGATTGAGACACATTGTTTACAGGTATGGAATTCTCAAAAGATTAAATAAAAGATATTCCTTTTTTTTTAAAGAAGAAAAACAAGCACTTGAAATGAAATCAAGATCTGAAGTGCCTGGATGCCTTCATTTTAGCTCCCCAGTCATCCAAAAAGATTGTAGCTGCTACTATCTTAACTCCAGAATCCTGTAGTGCCAAGCTGGAAGAACCTTCATAGGCACTTGGTCCAATGCCTTCCCAATTATAGGCTACAGAGACGCAGAGGGGTCACAAAGCTTATTATTGGAAGACTCAGGTCTCCCCAAAGTCTATCCCAGCAGGTATCTGTCTGTTCAGAGCCTTTATAGACTTAGAAAAATACAAGGAGCACTCTTTGTTGCTGGACTCAGGCAAGACAGTCTTTACGGCCAGAGAGCACCCTGCCGTGAGTCACCTGGTCACCTCTCTGGGCTGTTCACAGACTCCCTGCATAGGCAGATGCTGTCACAGTAGCTGTGTCTAACAGATCTGGAGCTGTTTCCTGGAGGGTCCTATGGCTCCTCACTCTTCGTATTACTGATGGTAGAGGTGGCCCCAATCTCTGCCTCCTCTATCTACCCATTTTCCTTCTGGTCTGCGAAGCCAGGAAAGTAAACCCCAAAGAGCACAAAGATGGAGCCATGCATTGGATAACTAGAGACCAAGGCCCAGGAGGGGCAGGCAGACAGCAGGGTGGGAAGGCTGCTGACTCCTAGTTTAAGCTCTCCCACCACACCATGGGCCTTGCTGGCTGCAGAGCCCCAAGCAGCCATCCTGTGGCCTTGGTTGGGACTGTCAACATCCTAAAGCCCAGTACTCACACAGTGACACCACCTCCCTTGAACAGTGTTGTCCTACAAGGCACAGTCACTCTCCAACTGCAACACGAGGCACAGGAGCGTGGCCAGAGATCGGTTGGGCCTGCTCCAAGGCCATGCTGCTGACCTGTCGGAGGTCAGGACCAGCCCCCAGCCTCCCTGCATGCAGGACAGGGGCTTTCATTTCAAAGGGTTGGGACCACATTGTCCTTCTTTGATCCCTCTGTACCCTCAGTGTGCATGGATCATTCTGGGGTCCCGTAGGCACTCTGCATTGGGCCTCTTCTCCTAGATCAATATGAGCTCATGCATCACCCAGTCCAGCAGGCTCCAGTCTAACTGGGCTTTTCCGGGGCGGGCTGCTTTTGCCTCCTTGGCCTCGGGTTGAGCTAGATAGTACTCTACATCTCATTGGTTACACCTTGTCATGCGAATGCCTACAGAGGGCCCAGGGATGGAACATTTTAAAGCAGAAAAAAAAGTATTATCCTCAACAAAATAGGGGTTCGTTGGTTATAAAGCAGGGAGGTGACTGTCACCAGGCAGCCACCAGCTTCTGTCCCCGCATTTCCAGTCTTATCTTCATGTTCCCATTGTGTCCTCAGATCTGCACAAGGACACCTTTCCTGTTGTGACCAGGAAGTCGCTGGTCTAGGACCCCAAAGCATATGTTTTACCTTGCCTTGCCAGCACCTGAATGCGGTGCCCCTTGCACACCCTGCAGGGTCCCACATCTGTCCTCCTGTTCCTTCTGTTTGCCTTTCTCATCCTTGTCCCCTGTCTGCCTCTCCTGTGCCCAGTCCAGCTTGGTGAGAACATCCTCATAGCGCCAGGGGTTGGGGGGGGGAGGGGGGGTTGAGATCATTGTGTTTCTGACAGACCTGCTTTGTCCAAGCCTCCTGTCAGAAGTCCACAGTCCATCTACCTCTACTCCAGCTTCCCTTTCCTCTCGGGCCTCTTGCTTATTGGAATGTTCATTAGGGTAACCTTGGTGGAGGACACTCTATCCAAATTCGAAATGTGAGGAACGCCTGCCCTGGCTTGTAATAGTCGATCATTCAGAAATACTCAAGAGTATAAAACTCCCCAAGGATCTTCATCCAGTGTTACTAGCAACTTGAAACCCGACCCGTCTACACGTCCATCATTTAGATTAGTTGCCTAAATGTTGGCACATCCGAACCTATCTCATACTAAGCGGCCATTAAAATGATTGAGTTTGGCCTCTAGGCTCAGACTTGGGAGAGTGCCCATAATGTGTTTTTGAATAACGTAAGCTGCTCCTGAAAGGATACGAACAGTACAATGAAGATGTCCACGATATCAGTTTGTGCACAGATAAATCCCTGGGAGATGCTCTGGGGTGTTTCTCAAGGGCTGAGACCCTCTGCCCACATGGATTCCCCAGGGCCTTGTTCACGGCCACTTGGGTGCAGGGTCCTGTTCCTTCTTGCCTTGTGGTCAGTGTTTCTGTCTCCCTTCCCTGAATCGTTCCCATTACATTCCAAACACACTGCAATCCAAGCAAATCTGTAGCAAACCCCAGGGCTCCCCCAGCTTCCTTTGCCAACAAAACAAAAGCCTCACCGTTCTGCCCCCTCTAATCTCTTCCCCTCTCTCTTCACTCTGTCTGCTTTATGCCCCGCCATCCTCTGCAAGGTCACCAACAACCTTGGCATTTGGTCAACATTTAGTGACATGTGGACTACTGGCACTTGGCATGGTTTCTCATCCCTTCTGCCTGAGGTCTGTTCCCTTCTAGACACTTAGACCTTCTGGTGTCCTGGTCTCTCCCAGGCCTCCCTCCTGCTCCTTCCTTCTGGCCCCTCCATCTGCAGACCTGCCAGCCTTGGTTCCTCAGGAGACTTCCTCAGATCCATGGCTTCTCTTCTGTTACATGCTCGCGACTCTCAAATTCACATCTCAAGCTGGGCCTGGTGGTGCTGGCCTGTGATTCCAGCTAGTGGGAAGATTGAGGAAGGTAGATGGGACAATTTATGTCAGAAAGAGAGAAGAGAGAGGGGGATGACCAAGACACACACACACACACACACACACACACACACACACACACACACACACACACACCAAAACAAAACAAAAAAACAAAAAAACAAAAAAACAAAACAAAAAACCTAAAACAAACAAACAAGCAAAACAACCAACATCTCATCCCAATCCTCCTTGATTTTGACTTCTAACTGCTGCCCTTCTTCCCTTCCCTTCCCTTCCTCTCCTTCCACCCTCCATCATTCTCTCCCTCCTCTTTCCTCAGCAGTTGTCTGTCTTCTTTTCTCTCACCCTCCCCCTTCCTCCTTCCCCTCCTCTCTACCCAAATCATATAAGGCCCCTATAAACGTCCACACATAGGGATGCCTGTGAAACCGGCCCTGCAAATAAGAACTATTTGTGATGAAAAAAGCCCAAACTCACATAGAGCCTGCAGCCCCTTCCCTGAAGGGCTGTGCTCTCCGGGGCCTGGGCAGTTGATTTTGATTTATAAACACGTTTCTTTCATGCTCCAGTGCAGCTCTTCAAAACAGCCTCCGTTTTCCTTCCCAGCTCCGCACAATCCCGGGAGCACTTTCCAGGCTACTCTAAGAAGCTGTGCACGGTGCTGTGGGGACAAACATGGATAAGAAGAATGTTCAGAAGGAAAAGGAACCACCAGCTCTCCCAGAGAGCAAGTATTTCAGGGCTTAGCTGGAGAGCTGATGCCTTGGGCAGTGTGAGGAGCTTCTACGCCTGAGAAAATCTGACTCTGAAGTAAGTCCTAGAGAAGCCACGGACTATGACTGGAAATAGGGGGTGCTGAGAGATGGGAGTGGCCCAGCCACTCTGCCCGCTTCTCCTACGACTGTATGTATTTTATAGGATGGAGCTTGTGGATGCTGCTGGGTAACACAAGGATATGATGGCCTTTGAAGCTATGGTTCTTAAAAATCCATGAATGAAAAAGAGTTACAGGTGCACCCAGAGTCTGCAGGTGAGGAGGGGTCAATGCCATGTGTCTTAGGGTTTCTACTGCTGTGAAGAAATACCATGGCCATGGAAACTCTTATAAAGGGAAAACATTTAATTGGGGTGGCTTACATTTTCAGAGGTTTAGTCCATTGTCATTATGGTGAGACATGGCGGCATGCAGGCAGACATGTGTGGTGATACTTTGTATATGCTCTAACAAATAAAGCTTGTCTGAAGATCAAACACAGAGGTAGCCATTGAGGCCAGTCACAGAGTTAGCCATAGTGGCCAGGCAGTGGTGGCACACACCTTTAATCCACTCGGGAGGCAGAGGCAGATGGATCTCTGTGAGTTCAAGGCTACCCTGGACTACATGGGATTAATTCAGTCTAAAAGAGAAACATAGCCAGGTGGTGATGGCACACACCTTTAATACCAGCACTAGGAAGGTTGAGACAGGAAATGATATGGCTGGGTGGAGAAAGGAATATAAGATGGAAGGAGACAGGAGTTGGGTCCCCCATTCAGCTAAGGACTCAGGGCATTTAGTCTGAGGATTCGTGGAGACAGGATCTTCCCCTTTTTGGCAGAGGAGTGGTGTGGTGGGAAGTGGCCGTGGCTTGTTTCCTCTGATCTTTTATTAGCATTTACCCCGATATCTGGCTTCGGGTTTTTATTAAGACCAATTAGGATTCGTGCTACAGACGTGGTGCTGGAGAAGTAGCTGAGTGTTTTACATCTTGCAGGCAACAGGAAGTGGTCTGAAACACTGGGTGTGGCTTGAGTATATGGGAGACCTCAAAGCCTGCCTCCACAGTGACACACTTCCTCTAACAAGGCCACACACACTCCAACAAAGGCCACACCTCCTAACAGTGCCACTCCCTTTGGGGGCCATTTTCTTTCAAACCACCACACCATGTTATAGTTTTTGATAGCAGCAGGTGCTCATGCCACCCAAACATCACAGCGGCATTGAAGGTCCATTCAGGGAAAGCTATCTCCTAGCGAGAAGAATAAAATCTACCTGAGGATGGAGATCCAGCATTCCTCTTGGGCTCAGCTGATCACCTGGCCAAGGGCCCACCCCCAGGAAGGTCCTGCTAAAGAGAAGAGAGGGGTAATTAGCCCTTTAGTGAGATAATGTGTAGCATGAATCTTAACAGGTCTTATTAATAAAAACAAATCCGGGCTGGGTATTGGGGTGAACACTGGAAGATCAGAGAAGCAGAACAAGCCACAGCCACCTTGTCTTGCTAATTCCTCAGCTGATCCTGTTTCCTGAGACTGGAAGCTTCTGAGTCCTCATCCAAATGGATCTCAGCTGGACTGTGCTGCTCAAAAGCCTAAAAGCTTAACCAGCCAAATGCTTCTAGTTTCTGGTCTTCACGCCTTATATATCTTTCTGCTTTCTGCCATCCCTCCCTGGGATTAAAGGCTCGCTTCTTGGGATTAAAGGCATATGTCACCATGCCTGGCTGTTTCCAATGTGGCCTTGAACTCACAGAGATCCAGAGGGATTTCTGCCTCTGGAATGCTAGGATTAAAGGTGTGAGTGCCACCATTTTCTAGCCTCTACGTCTGTTCTTTGACCCCAGATAAGTTTATTGGGGTGCACAATATTTTGGGGAACACAGTATCACCACAATAATGGGCTTTCCTCCCAGGGACAGAGGGATGTTTATGGAGCTGTGGTGTGCAGCCCTGTTCAGCCTGCCCACATTTCTCAGGCTTTCTTCGGAGAAGTGTAACGTCTCCCTTTTCTCTTTCTGTCTTTTTCCTAACCACGTCCCCCGGCACACTGGGTTTCTTTCCTCTTTTCTATGAAGCCCCCCCCCCCATGTGACTGACTTCCATTGCTGATACATCCTGGTTTAACTTCAACAGCATGGCTTTCTCACTTCTCTGTCTTCCTCCTCCAGGCAGCTACTGAGATTGACAGCTTGCCTGCTCCATGGTTCTTCTTGAAAACTAACAAAATTGTCCTTGAGCTCCCTTTTGAGTCTATTCTTCAATTCCTTTATTAACAAGACCAAGAATCCTAACAGAGAGGACCTCAGTTTTCTTTATAACACTTATCTAACCCAAGGTCATTCTCCCTAATTAATGAATTAACTAATTAATATTTTTGAGACAGGGTCTCCTGTCTCCCAGGCTGGTGTTCAGCCCACCATGAAGTGAGAATCAGAACCGTTAAATTGTGCATCTCCTGGCTCCACCTCTCAAGTATAGGATTATAGATGTGTGTCACCTTGCCTGGTTTTTGTGTGACCCTGGGGGCTTGAACCCAGGCTCTGTATAGTCTAGACAAGTACTCTACCAACTGAGCTATATCTCCATCCCTGTCGCCACTGCTTTGGAAGCTGCTTGTGTGTCTGGAGCAGAGCGGCAGTGTTACAGCTGCTGGGTTCTTTTATTTTCCTGATCACAGCTGACCTTGGTGGGGACTTAGGGACAGCTGGCCGGGGAAGAGGGAACTGCAAACATGGAGGCTATGGGGTGATAGAGAGCACAGTATGGTCAGTCACGGAAGGTAGGCAGTTGTGGCTACAGAGGGCCTAGAAGGTTCTGGGCTGGGTGCTGTGAAGTTTCAGATGCCAGCACAGGGGAAGTGAGATGCTGTCATTGGGGGTGGTATGCTTAGAACAGCTCTTTTACCATCGTGATGGCTGGCAAACAGAAACAAGCTGGAGGGGGTGAGCAGAGAGACGACAGGGACCCTGTTATGACACCACTATATAGACAGGAGACTGTAGAGCTTTCTGGCAAGTGAATGCCGAAGTACAGCAGGGGACAGTCAGGTTTAGAGACATTTAGGGACTGCTATGGGCATGCTTTGCGACAAGACAGTGTGTTCCAGGTAAACGGGAGGGAAGTGTCAAGGTGAAGATACCCTGTTTCCAATTTGGGTTACTGAATGAGTGACAGCAGAGCCATCTGAGGACACAGTGCCAGCAGAGGAGCAGGTGTGAAGGCCAAGTCGGGGCACTGCATCCTGGACCGGGTAAGTCTGACATGCTTTTGAGATGCGCAGGTGTGTCTGATCAGGAAGCCAGGCTGTTTATCCCCTCTACTGTCACGTCTGTTCCAGAATGTCTTGAAAATGCAATTAGAGAGTACACTGTTCACACAGGCTCCTTCCTCTTAGCAACACATATTTAAAATGTATCATTGTTCTTACAGAGTTTTCTAGAACATTCATATTTTTACTATTGAGCAATACTCTATTGTATGGGCACCTTACTGTCCATCTTAATGGCTTGCCGTTTGGAAAATTATAAATAAAGTGGCTACAGACATCTGCATGAATGTTTTTGTACAGACATCTGTTTTTAGGTCAGCCAGGTAAACACCTCTGAGCATATATTGTGTGACTCTTTCCCTGGGACACGTGAACAAATGTCTACTTATAGGAGAGCAAAAAATAGATCAAAGTACGGATACCACCAAAGTCCCACTGGAGAACCAATGAGCTTTATTGGGATTACTTACAGGAATATCATTGAGAGGTAATTTACAAGAGCAGAAATCACTCAAAGACAGCTGCATCACAAAGCCCACCTCTGCGTGGGGGACAGCTCACAAAAGCTGGGAATCTAGAGCACACTGCACAACTTTCAAGCAGCTTGAGAGGTCGGGTGTCCTTGTCAGACAACTCCGCTGGTACGACTCTCAGCACTCCTGATTTACTAAGTTTGGGGAAGGGGAGCCTTGTACACCTGGTCAGTTCTGGGGTCTTCCTGGGCCTTTTGAGTTGTTCACTTCCTGAATCTTAAGGAATCTCCCTTTAGAACATCCTGAGTCTTTTTTTTTTTTTTAAATATGATCTCTCTATCTGACTATCATGGAACTCGCTATGTAGCCCAGGCTGTCCTGGAACTCACAGAGATTCACCTGCTTCTGCCTCCTGAGTGCTGGGATTAAAGGCTTGTGCCACCTCACCTGGCCCATAGCCTGAGTCTCAATGAGCATCCCTTTAGAGCTTCCTGGGTCTTAAAGATCCTTGAGCCTTGAAGAATTTGCTTCATAACAGCATGACTGCCTAGTCCTATGGTAAAGTTCCAAGTCAGCTCTGCAAGCAAACAAAAAACCAACCAACCAACCAACCAAACAAACAAAAAAAACACAATCAAACAAACAACAAAAGCCCAGTTGTGCTGTGAAATAATCCTCTTGTACACTGTAAAGATTCGTCACTCAATTAGTTTAATAAAACACTGATTGGCCAGTAGCCAGGCAGGAAGTATAGCTGGGGCAATCAAACTAAGAATACTGGGAAGAGGAAGGGTGGAGTCAGGAGTCACCATCCAGAAACAGAGGAAGCAAGATGAGAATACCCACTGAGAAAAGGTACCAAGCCATGTGGCTAAACATAGAAAAGAATTATGGATTAATTTAAGTATAAGAGCAAGTTAGTAATAGGCCTGAGCTATTGGCCAAGCATTTATGATTTATAAGCCTCTGTGTGGTAATTTGGGAAGCAGCTGCCAGTTATTTGGGAGTTGCTGGTGGGATAAAAACTTACACTTATACAACTTGCATTCACTACAGTGAATGAACAGCATCTATTGGGCTACCTGCTCATTTTAGCTTTTTTAACAGGTATGTGCAGCTACCTAATGGTTTGATTGTTTAGCTCCCTTGACAGAAAGAAAAAAAAAGTTTGCACACACTTGCTGTCCATCCTGCATCTTGTGAAGTGTCTGTTCAAATCTTTTTAATTGTCTTTTTGGGAGCAGAAAGGGGGGCAGGTGAAATGTCTCAGAAGGTACTTGAGCACTACCCTGGTGACCTGGGTTTGATTCCCAGATCCCACCAGGTGGTAGGAGAGAACTGACCTCTACTCAAGTGTGATGCATGCACTTGTAATCACACACACATGCATTGATGAGTTTTTCCTTTTTCTTTTTCAGAGACAGGGTTTCTCTGTGTAGCTCTGGCTGGCCTGGAACTCACTGTGTAGACCCGGCTGGCCTCGAACTCACCGAGATCCTTCTTCCTCTGCCTCCCAATTGC